TATTTAAATATATATAAATATATAAATAAAATATAACCTATGTAGCCACCATCTCTCAGCCCAACCTACTTGATGTGAAAAAAAAAATGGGAGTATTAGGTTGACCACCTCCTGAACACAGAGGGAGGATAAAGCTAATAAATATATAAGTTCTCCTCTATTTTGTTCTATCATTCAGTTTAACTGAAAGGACTTCTCAAGCAGATTCCTTGGTAGAGTGAACTTCCTGCAGGAATGTTCTCCCCAGTGACTGCCACCTCCTTAGCTTCCCAAGAGAAGATCTCAGAAGGAATCTCCAGTAGCATTGCTCTCTCTCCATCAAGGTATGTTCCAGCCTTGAGAAATCACTGGAGAATCTCTCCTTCCCCTGGGAAAAAGATCAGTTAAATGGCCCATATGCCCTGCTCACAAATTGGGTGGGAAACCTGGGCAGCCACTACAACAGCCTGACGGATTTTATGTTTCTTCTGGCTTGCTGGGAGAGGAAGAAGAGGTCCTGGTGGAGAATTTCAAAAGGCCTTTATATCCAGGTTCAGATGGAGACTGGTGCTTTGCAGCCTACCAACTTCCCATTTAATTTAATTCAAAGCAAATCTAAAACAACTAGAGTCAGGCGGGAGGGGAAACCTGGGGTATCCCATCAGAGTAGTTTGTCCACCTCTCCAGGATCCTCAAGCAGAAAAGTAAGAAACACATTGGCTTACCAGATCTGTCCCACGTTAATTAAGGAAAGGTAGATCATCCATACAGCAGCCATGAGAATCATGTTGGCACATCCGGTGACCAGGACGAAAGCTGAGATGGCCAAACCGATGAGAGCGAAGGCATCGAGGATGCTGTTCATGTTGGACCAATCCAAGAACCAGATCAGAGTTGGGGCGTAGCTTAATGTCTCCATGTTGATTCTGCCCTTGAAATAGTGCTTCACATTCTCCAGGTATAGCTTGCATGGCAGAAGCCCTCGATCTCCAATAAGTGCTTTGTTTTGATGGTAGGCAACCAGAAAGGCGACAACTGAAAGGAATATCAACAACAATAATGGTGGGGAGGAATTCAGGAGATTAACATGCAACGCCTGAACAGCAGAACTTCTGTAGCAATCTAGCCATTTTCAAAGTTAAAGGGCAAATTAAAAGCATTGTAGAAGGGCAGAATCTTGTTCAGTTTCCTATTCTGCAGCCTAAGGCAGCCTCCTGAAGTGAAGAAAGCCTTATTTCATGCATAAACCTTCAAATTATTTTATTTATTGCATTTATATCCCAGGTTTCCACAAGGAGCTCAGGAAGGACAATGCAATGCAGGCTTTATTCTGAAAGCTGGAGCTTTCCGAACAAAGTCTCTGAAATAAATGACAATGACAAACGTCAAGTCTGCATCCGAAAGAGGCTGTAAAAATAAGAACTGCTTGGACTTTACAGAAGGAACCTAGTCTTCTGGGAAAATGTTGAATACCCAGAGCAGAAACCAAGGAAGAGGATAGGTCATTTCTGCTCTATGACAGTTCTTATGTATTTAATATACTACACCATTAACTACCAAGGTCTATTCATGATTACAAAAGAATGTAAGATAACATTAACAACAGATATTTAAAGCAAAACTAACAATAAATAGCCTAGAAGGTCAGGCTTCTCAACTCAGTTGCAAAGTCAGCCCACGTGCAGGTAATCTAAATCATGGCTTAGCAAAATGTGTGAACCCAACTACCAGAACCGCATCCCACCTAAGTCTGAACCTTGCACACTGCAGCCAAAAATCAAGAGAAAGTCAGGTGTGTGGCTCACTCAGTTGTGACTCTGTGTATTGTGGCAATCCAACTATGTCATAGGTATTTATTTTTATTATTTATTAAAATGTTTAGACTACCCAATAGCCAAAACTTTGGGGGCAGTTTACAATAAAACACACTAAAAGATACAATTTGAATAAAAACATATATAAATAAAATCAAATCAAATGAAATGCAAAATGAAAACACCATATAAACTAGGCGGCAGCAAGTGGACTTTCAAAATCTAAAACTGCATGAATTAAAGACAATTAAAAGCCAGTTAAAAAGCTTGGGAAAATAGAAAGTCTTCACCTAGTGCTAAAATGACGCTAATGTGGGTGCCAGCTGGGCCTCTAGCAAAGGCATTTCACATATGGGGTGCGACCAGAGAAAAAGTTCTCCCCCTTGTAGAGCCCCACCTCACCTCCTTTGGGGAGGAAACCTGGAGGAGGTCCTCATGAGACAATATTAAGGCCCAGGTGAGAATATACAGGAGAAGGCTGCTTGGTATATATAAACCATGGACTGAATTTTATTATGCTGTGCAAATGCAGCCAACTGTAGACTGTTCAACAAACTGTGACTTTTCCTACAGTGTGAACTGGTTTACTAAGTTATAGCCTGCGTATGTACACGTGTGCACTTCAAGTGAGGCTTACTCCCAGCAACGGCATGGACACGTCCGTGCAGTTTTCTCAGCAAGATTTTTGGAAGAGGCTTGTCCATGCCTTCTTCTTAGGGCTGAGAGAGAGGGGCTGGCCCAAGGTTATCCAGCTGGCTTCCAAGTCTAAGGCAGGACTAGAACTCACCACCTCCCAGTTTCTAGCCTGGTACCTTCACCGTTACACCAAGCTGGCTCTTATAACCCATGAAAATATCATTATGTTCATAATCAATAAAGTAATTATGACTGCCAAAGGTATGTATAAACTGTGAATGATGGGCCCCTCTTCTAAAATAAACATTCAGGGCATCACCATTCACTAAAGCAGTGTTGTCCAAACTTGACCACTTTAAGATGAGTGGACTTCAACTCCCAGAATTC